ACCTGGCCATTGGACAACTATTCTGCTACAAGTAAACAGGTTATCTCGCTTTTCTCTATATTTTAAGGTAATTTGAGATTTGTGGGAATTTTTCATAAAGCAGCAGTGCTTAAACTACAATCGAATTAGATCTCCTTATTCAATAACGAAAGGGCATTGACTTCTGGGCGACTTCTGTATTTCCTTACTACACAGCATCACAATATATTCAATTCAATAGTCCTGATACTTATAACAAAGACAAAATTATTAATTTACAATGTAGCGATACTTCTACCCCTACCGTGGATTCCGTTTCGCCGTCAAATGATCGAATCGATCATTTTTGTTTAATTAATTTGAAGAACCTTATTTTAAAGTAGAGATTTTTAAAAATCGCAGAATATTCCTATGTCAATAAATTCAATCATTGTAAAATCTTTGTCATTGTTTGGGATGGTGTGGACCATCAACCACTCATTCATTCATGATTCAATTTAGTCATGTCTTTGTCACTTTTTTTGTACCTGTGTTTTTATTTTTAGGGGGAATTTAGTGTTATTTTTGTCTTAACATGTTAGACATGTACATGTAAATATTTATAATATCCACTAACTTTAGTATGGGCATTGGGCCATTCATAAATGACGTCACCTTATGTCTGTTTACAGGTTTGCCCCCCTCCCCCTCCTTTTTCTTGCCATCATCACACAAATTAGTTCATTTAGACACTTTAACTTTAATTTACACTACACTTAAACACATCTTACATTGTCACAAATTCGTGACCCTCCTCCCCTTTAGATATTGACATCCTTTATAGTATAGATTGCCAAATATAGCCTGAATGGGCAGTATATTGTGAAACGAAAGTTTGTTGGAGTGGAATATTGTTCAAAATGAAAATGTGGGGAAAAAATTATTACTGGTAAAAAGATTATATTTTCCCCATTTCTCACTCGCTTGCCTCAATTAATTTAAACATTAAAGGAAATAAAAAAATTTAATATGCTTTTAACAAATTTTGAACAAACTTCCATCAAACAATTTTCCTTCGAACAAATGTCTTTGGTTCAAATTTCCGGTTACCAGTATACATATATGCCTAAGTTAAGTCTTCTTAGCTATGTTAGTCTCTTGCTTTTAGAACCAGTCATCTAATTAATATTATTATATTATTTAGAACAAACATGATTATTTTCCTTTTTTTTTTTCAGGGTCTTCAATAACAACAATTATGCACTGCAAAATGTATGACTTCATCATACTTTCCAAACACACTGCCAGATGCAAGACATGTCTGTGGGAGCAATTAAGTTCTGTGTACATTCAGTTTTCATTTCGTTCCTCCAAATAATAATATGTCCATTCCTTAGTCTGGTCTGGGACCCTGCAATTAAGCTTATTCTTTGCCTGCCTATATACAAGTCAGTCAGATGGAAACTGGACTAGATATAAAAAATCTTGATCTTAGCTGGTCAAATTTGTTTGTGGAATCACAATTATGTAGGGGAGATATGTGCACAGATAAGTCAATTCCAGAGGACAAAGCTAACCATTCAGTCTCCTCTGGTATGAAAAATTTTAAAGGCAAATATTTTCATGAGGATGAATGCCAAAGAGTGGATTATACTCAAGTTCTTTTTAAGAAGGGTGAAATAAATAGATTTATGAGAAGTGGTATTGTTTCATCTGGAGACATGGTTGTACAGCCCAATAGTTCAAAAGATCACACAGACAGACTGACCTCTGAGTGTAACTATCTGACCAATAATGGAAATGTAGATGATATTAATGATAATGTGTTCCAGCAGTCAAATGGAAATTATTCTTCAAATAAAAATTCTCAATGCCAAATATTTTCTCCCCGACAGAATCATATTAAAAATGTTGAAGCAAGAAGTACAAATGCTGCAGTGGCACAGAAGCATCATCTTTATCTTAATTTTTGTTGTAAAAAATACTATTGCACTAATAAATTTTCTAAAGCACGGTGCCAAGAAATTCAAAGAATGTTTTGGAAACTAAGAAACAATAATTATCGCAAGCATTGGATTTGGAGACATGTTAAACAATACAAGAGTACTTCTTCTCCTTCAAATGTCAGAGAATTAGTTACAAGGGGGCACTACTTCATTCCAGATGCAACTGGAAAGTTGGTCAAAGTTTGCTGGAAATTTTTTCTTATGTCCCTTGGTCTGAAATGTAACCCTTCGATTTTATTTAATTTGGGTAAAGGAAATAAACTTTGGACAGCAATAAAAGTGATTCAGATGGAGAGACAGGAAAACCATAAAAAGCATGCCAGATTTTTTATCAACTCTTTTATTCAGAAATATAAAAAATATTACAAGGGGGAAAAAAAAATTATTTTAGCCTCTGTTCTTGTAAAACTGGCATTTTTAAACTTCAGAGCACTGTGTCATGGATGTTGTATCTCCTATCAAGAATTCAAATCTTTATTTCACTCAGTTAGTGTTCAAGATATTGCAAATGATTTTCAAAAGTTGAAAATATCATCAGGACTTGCTCTTCTAAGAAAAGTGTATTTGCAGAATAAATCTGCTAATAAAGAGACAAGCATGGGAAACTTTCCAACACAGAATGCTACAGTGGACTCAACTCTGAGCTCAAACTTGTCTGATAGAGAATCTGATAAGCCATGCATGAAAAAAGTCCATTCTGTCATAATGCAGCTAGACATAGAAGATGACCCTGTTATTATTACAAAGAATGAAAGTGATAGTGATAATGAAAATGAATCAGAAGGTGCAGGCCCTGGCAATAGTCCTAATAAAACTGGAAGTTGCATTTCAAGTGAACAATTAGTGCCTGTCAAGGCTATAAAGTCTATGCATACCCTGCATCCTAAGTTGTTATCTCCATGCAGATGTAAACAGAAGTGCTCTAGAAAAATTTCAGAGGAGAACAGATCCCAAATACACACTGCCTTCTGGGCCATAGGAGATTATAGAGAACAGAAAAAATGGATAATAAATCATGTTCAAATATTAAACCTTCAGAAAAAACCAGGCAAATCAAATATCTGTTGTCAGAATAATCCTACTTCTTCTGTGAGTTTTTTTTTTGATGATCCTACTGGTAGACCTGTCCCTGTTTGTGCTTTGTTTTTTCAGAGGACATTGGGGTTAAGTACATGTAAGACCATGAAACCTCCATGTGAAGCCAAACATTTGCCTCACCCTTCAGATACACAGCAGTTACCTATAGAATGCTGTATTGAACGGCATGTTACATGGCACTGTCTCAAGACATTTGGTGAAAACGTTCAACAGATATTCAAAAGCAGGCAGTCCATTAAAAAGTTGCATTCTGATTTCCTAAAGAGCTACCACATCAGCAGTGTGAGTTATAAAACATATAAATGTATTTTTAACAGTATTAAAAAACTTAACAGCTGTCCTGAAACAAGCAAGGGGTCAAATGTTGTCAAGCAGCATTCTCCGGTTTCAACTCACATGAAAGTCCTTAAAAAAACAGATAAGGTTATCAAAAAGAAACCTGATAATGATGCAACTCTACCATTGGTTAGGAGATCATCCAGACAGACCAGAATGCAAGGCAGTATGGCTGAAGATGACTTGATAGAAATGATTGAAGACTCACATTTGATGTCTAGATTTGGAACAAATCATGATTTAAAGACTAATCTAGACTCACAGCTTTTTAATATATGTGATGAAAAGCCATCACCGGCTGAAAAATCTTCTATTGTAGATTCCAGCAAGGAAGAATCAAAAGAAGTCTTCAACAAAGGAAGTCGAAAAATTAAAGGGAGGCAACCATCTCATAAAGTATCCGTTCCTTTGGTTAGTGAACCTTTGTGTAAACGCTTGCATAAAACTAGCCTGAAATCTAATAAGGCCAAGTGGAGAGCCAAGCAGAAAAAGAAATTCACAACCAGATTTGAAAAATATGGATATCGGATCGATATTAACCCAGGAGATAAAAAGTTTGCCAAAAGGCATTCTAAACTTGCCCCTTTGATGAAAAAACACAGACATCCAATACTGCCCTCATGTGATTGCACCAGAAGGAAGTGCATTGAAAAAATCCCAGAGGAACAAAGGCACTCTATTCACACTTCTTTCTGGAACTTGAAGAGCTACAAAGACCGCAAGAGATGGCTTATGAAGTATGTTGAGACCAGGGCACCAAAATGTAAGGCTGTTACTTTAATCCCACTCCCTCACAAAAAACATGGCTCAAAAAAATACTTTTTCCCAAATACCCAAGGGGCTGTCATTGAAGTGTGCAGACTGTTTTTTCTCCACACGCTAGGATTTAGGTGGGACAGCGTAGTTGACACAATAGCCAAAACCAAGAAACCGATCCAATCAGTTGTCTGTAAGGAGAGAACAATGAAAAAACCAGCCCATGAACTTCCAGAGCACATAATTAGTTCTGTTGTTGAATATCTAGAGGCGGTTAAAACTTCAGTCAAGACTAACGCCAATGAAAAACGGGAAGAGCTTGTTGAGAAAACGGAATCGGAAAATTTGCCAGGCTTGAAATCTAAGAACCTTTTTGCAGATTATAAAATGAAGTATAAGCACTTAAAATTTAATCTTGGTTATCATAGCTTCCGTAGAATTTTCCTAAACTTTGTTGAGCCTGAAAATATTGATGCTTCAGATAAAGATGATCAGGACAATGAAAGTTCTTCCGCCGACTCAGATGTTGACCCAATCAATAGGAATAAAGTCTCTGATTATAAGCTGTCTTCTTCTACAGGGTTTACACATGGAAAAAAATCAGTTTCGGGACAGGATGTAAAAAAGCAAGTTGCCAACAGTGTTACAGTTGGTCCTAAATTTACAAAGGTTAAAAGAAAATATGATTTGAAAATAAACAAAAAATATAAAAGGAGCAAAAATTCAGAAAGTTTATCTGATAATTTAGAATGTGAAGAATTGGAAAAGCAGACTTCAGAGGATAATACAGCCAATGTCAAAGACACCACAGAAACAACTGAACTTTCTGTAGGTCAAAATGACAACATGAATGAAACTGAAGAATGCATTCTAGATGTGGGTAGCGGATTCTTCAAACGACCTATTGGCGGAACCTCAAATAACAATGGGAATCCTTACATCACGGAACTCAAATACAAAAAGCGAAGATCTAAGTCCAAAAGGAATGATGGAAAAAATTATCCTGTGCTACCTCCTTGTAAGTGTACCAAACGTAAGTGTGCAGAGAAATTTCCTGAACTTGAAAGGAAAGCAGTCAATGGCATGTTTTGGGGCCTAGATGGTTACAATGAACGTAAACAGTGGATTCTAGAACATATAAAGCGGGCTGATATTAAAAGGCGGATAGCATCACGTGAAGGGCCTCCTCGAAAGCTAGAGAGTCGTTGGTACTATCTGCCTGATGGTAAAGGCAATTTGGTTGATGTTTGTAAGGCATTTTTCCTGCGAACTCTCGGCTATAAATGGGACAGTGTCATTGACACTATCGGCAAGACAACACCCAAGGGAGACAAACATGTTGTCCCAGACAGACGGGGAAGAAAACCCCCGCCACACAAAATTTCTGAAGAGGCAGTGAGCTCGATGACACTATACATAGAATCTGCTTGTCAGACTTACCAGCCTTTGTACCAGCAAAAGAACCTTGGCCACAAGGGAGGCAGCAAGACAACTACTGTCAGTTTAATTCCTTATGGTCTAACTATGAAGCAACTATTTGAAGATTACAAATCTAAACATCCCAACCATACATTTGGCTACGAGAGCTTTAGAAAGGTTTTCAAGCGCGTTCATGCCTCGATAGTGGCCAACCTTCCACCTAACCTAGAAACTGAAGAAGAATCAGAGCCAGTGTTTTCTTCTGCATCAAGATCTTTTGAGCTTAATTACTTAGCACCAGCCAACATTGAAACAAGGCAAGATTGCCATAAGGAACCAACTCATTCTGTAGCAAACACCCAGCCATTTCCAAGCTTGAATCAATATGCACCATCACCACCACTTCCTCAGCCTCAACAACAACCCATGTCAATTAATAACCCAAGTGAGAGAAAAAGTTGTCTATACCAGTATGCCATCTTACCGCTGGAAGCCCAACAACAAGGCTTTCAAATGCCAGAAAATGGACCGGAGTCACTTCGATACAACACAACTGAACAGGATACATTTTTAAAATATAAACACAGCATTTATGGTCCACAAGCCAACATGGCGGTCCAACCAAGTCATTTTCCTCAAATGTCAGAGCCAGTGGGTTACCCGGTAAACAATAACCCATGTCCAGACGTTGTTGATCCTGTTACAAATGGGGCTCATAATCAATTTCCTTCTTACTTCATTCCCAACCCTGAACCCTTACGACGTCAGGCCTATCACCAAATGGCATCTCAGTATCAAACTATTCTTCATCACATAGCAGAGTCCAGCAGATTTTTTAATTATGGCAGCTTCCCACCAGCAGAGGCTACATGTCAGGCAGCACAGGAGAAACCATATCACTTCAGCAACCGACCAGAATACCCAAGAGACAACATTATCCCTTACAACCCATCAAAGCATTCCCAGAACTACGAAGCTCCATCAATGCCTGTATCTTACAGTCTTAACTGCAATCTTCCCCACACTAGCAGTCAGTCCCATGTCCCCAATATGGTTCTGTCTCCATACTCTGATGAAAATGACAACAGCTTTCTGAATGACACAGGAGACTCCCAAAATTACAATGTCATCAAAGATCCCATGCAGAGTAACAGTAACCAAGACTGTGTCTTGACAAATGATAGTTCTGGAGAAAAATGTAAAAAGTCTGCTAAAAAGAGCAGGTCTTCTAAGAAAGCAAAAAATGATGCAGCAAAAGTCAAAAGAGAGAAAAAAATGCGTCCCAAATCAGCAAGAAATTATGGTGAGCACTACCCATTGCTCCCACCTTGTAACTGTAAGAAAAAAAAATGCACAGAGAAATTCACTGAAAGCAGGAGACAGCAGATCCATGACTTGTTCTGGCATCTGAATAACTATAATGATCGTAAACAGTGGATGCTTCAGAATATAAAAAGAGAGGACTGCAAGAGGAGAAGAGTGGACCAGCCCGAGTCTACTAGGAAATCAGAATCCCGCTGGTACTACCTTCCAAATGAAGAAGGTCACCAGCTTGAGGTCTGTAAAGATTTCTTTTTGAGAACACTTGGATACAAATGGGACAGCGTTATTGATACCATCCGTAAGACCACTCCTAAAGGGGAGACCAGCACCCGACCAGACATGAGAGGGAAGAAATCTCCAGCTCACAAGCTGTCAAATGAGATTTTGAAATCTGTTATCCAGTACATTGAATCCATGCAACAGACAGCAGAGCCGTACAACCACAGACCTGAAGTTGCCGGAGATTTGCATGACAGCAAACAGGAAAATAATTCCGAAAAGCAGACCAAAAACAAAAATATAGGAAACGTTACCATTCCTTATGGTTTAACTATGAAAGATCTGTTTGATGACTATAAGGCCAAGCACGCAAGTCATAAGATTGGTTATGAGAGTTTCCGCAGAATTTTCAAAGCTCTGTCCAATTCTGAAAAAATTTTGGACAATAAAGGAAATGAAGTTCATAGCGGCAATGATTCAGGATTGCTTCCTTTTTAATTTTTTTTAAATTTAAAATTATTTTTTCAAGAATTTCATTACATTACGAAGGATTTATCACACTTTGCAGTATTAATAGAAGATTCAAAGCTTGTTAACTAAGAAATGTTATTTCTTTGCAGGGTAAATAACTTCTTAAAAGATTATTACTTTACATGATAAATATAAATTATTGAGAAATATTATTTATTTACTCTATAGGGTAAATATAACTTATCAAGGAAAGGTTATTTATTTACAGGCAAAATATAACTTAAGAATGTATATTCCTTTATAAGTAAACCTAGCTTATTAAAGAAGAAATTTCTTTCTAAGGTACACCATCTGCGAAATCAATATTTGACTGACAAGACATTAAATATTTTATATCACATATCACTTGTGATTTTGTGACAAGTTATTGCAAGCATTTCTAGTCATGTTATTTTGAAAGGCATAGTTTTCATTCAGTTTGTGTCTCTTTGATTATTATGTTACAGAACTTTTGTAACTACTGTATTATTTTCTTGTTCATTATTTCACTAACTAGTCAAGGACTATTTACAAGAGACTTAAATTAATGCTGACTCAGCAGTTGTGAGAGGTTTCTGTCCCATTGTCTGCAAATAAAGATGAATACAGTTTTATTCATAGTCATTTTATTTATAATGTCAATTGCAGCCAACATTGTATATTTATTTTTGATTGACTATATATGAGAACCAAAAGAGATCACATCTCCATCAATGTGGTTTTTTTTTTGTTTTTAATTTTTTTGTAATGTTCATGTGATACTTCAATGTTTTATTCACAAAATTATTTTTTGACTTCACTTCAATAATCTTTAAAAAGTGGCCAGTGTGTTCCATTATTTTCATTTCCATAATGCTTCATTATAAATTATAATATAAAATATTATTATTTTGTAAATTAATTATGGTTTAAAAAGCATGGCTCTTCTCACTGTTTTGTATTAAGATATTAAAATGTATGTTATCATATTTGATGTGAGAAAAATATTCCAAATCATAGTTTAGAAAAACAAATTATAGAAAATTATGGTGAGTGATGTAAATTAGCCCCATCAGCTTCCATGGGGAATCATTAGTGTTGGCACAATGAGGCATACAAGCCGAGGAATTAAATATATGATCTCTAATTGGTAAATCTTCAAGCCTGAAGACATCATTAATTGATGAACCTCACACTTGAACCATGAAAGGATCATCATTCAACTAGCAGATGTGTCAGCTTTGCAGTATTTACTCTCACAGGGCATGGAGTTGGCAACATAAGAACCTTTGAGAGGAGTCTGGGAAAACTGACATCCAGGCCATATTCATTTTGTAAGAGCCGACACATGTCTTATGCAGGGCTGCAGCATCGTGCATCAAAATTCTGACGAATGATGTGTAAGTTGTGTCTCTGTATATTCCCAAATGGAATACCCGGTACAAACAACATGCACCATTTCATTAAACCTTTTCACTTCCCAGACACTTTCCTTGGATCACCCAGATATCCGGATCCAGGCATTTCCAATGGCCCATAATGCATTTCTTCCAAACTATATAATCATCTCAGGAACACATCATCAAAAAACATTTCACAACATCCTTCATAATTACCGTCGTCTCACCACTTGTGACAAAAAACATCACATTAAGATAATAAAGATAGTGACTGTTGTTGGCCATAGGACAGTTCTTGGAATTTCTGGGATAGAAACAAAACACTATCCTTTGAGCTTCCTCCAGCTCTGCTACAACTGGAGATTACCTTCTAATTCTAATAAGAAAAAACTCCATAATTTTCAATAATGTTTACAGTACTCAAAATGTTTGGTACCGGTAGTAATAAACATAATTTTCTTTGTGTTAAAATTATTATTTTTTTTCCAAGATGTTTTATAATTGTCACTGTTCCTAATGTCTAATAATTTTTTACAATGGAGATATCTGTTTATAAAAGTATATTCTCTTTTATGGGAATATATTCTATTATTAATGTTTCAATTTCCTTAAACTTACAATTGATACAATGTTATAAAGTGTTGATTCTTTGTGATTCCTGACATTGCACTGGGGCTGATTCAGCAGATTTTTAGCTGAGCAGCATTTTACAAAATAGACAGGTCTAAGAATTATTGTTGTTTTACTGCCATTGCTGCTGAAGTCTAATTGTTTTAAACTTCAGAGCAAGCTAGTCACATTTTTGTTGTGATTTTTCATGGCTCCATTGTTTTAAATTTAATCATTTAATAAAATGAATTTTAACTTCAATGGTGAGGCATTAAATAAAGAGTGATAGGAAAGAGAATGGGAAAACAATATACATATCCCATCTGTCATCCATAGAAAATGTGTATTAGTTTACTAAAAGGTATGTTGAGTTTTACTTTTAAAATTGAAATTAATTTTAATGTTGGGACTATAATGACTACATGTATTCAATTAGTACTAGTACTGTGTGTAGCCTTGCAATCGAAGTGCATGACAAAGAAATGAATTGTTTTAAATGAGTTTGACTTATGACAAATTCAATACCAGTAACTAGAATTTTAAATGACACTAATGTCTCAAAGACTTTCCATTGTAATCTTAATTGAGGAGTATCTGAGCTGGTCAGTCATCAGTCTCTTAATTTTAGCCCTGCTAGGACAATGTAGTTTTCTTTGTTAAAAAGACTAGGTTCACAAATTGTGATTTCTCAAAAAGTTTTTGCATCAGTCAGGTTTTTGTTGGTAGATTGTTAGATTTCTTTATTAATGTCAAAAAAAATAATTTATTTTGTGCTACATTTAATCTTCAACAATACAAAAATTGGTATATTATGTTATCTATGCATGCATTTTATTATTTTATCATGAACGTTTTCTGTTTTATAATCATTATAATTTTGAAACAATGTAAATAAATAAAATGGCTGTGTAGAAATGTAAATACAACTCTTCTAGTCGTTAAAATCAAAAACTTTTTATGTGAGTATTAAATGATCATTGATATTGGATCTCATTTTGGCAATTAGTTGTCTTGCCAGATTTAGTTATCATTGCATGGCCCAAGATCCCAGGTGAGCTGGATACAGGTGACACCATGACCATGTAGCAAAGGCCTGTAGACAAATCCATGATACTCAATGATTGATTGTCACTAAAGTGCTGTGGGGCTTTTATGTTGCTTGAATATGATGTAAATCTTGCATCCAAGTGTAATGAATTATGAGTGGTGAGGTGGTAAGACATATATCTTGGGTGCAGTTAGATATAACAAGTAAATAGCAGCAATTATAAAATGTTTTACCTTTATTCCCAAAATATAAAAAAAGTATAGTATATTTTACCAAATGGCTCTGCTTACTTTTAGAAAATATAATCCATTTAATTAATTTGATTTTTATATTGTACTGAACACTGTTTTTTTTATTTTTAGCTTTCTACTGGATTCTCATCTTTAAAAATTAAGTTTTTAAAAATGTGTACAAAGAGGTCGTGTAGATTGTTTATTATTATTCTGAAATTTAAGAGAGAAAAGCATTTGGGAATTTAATAAATACTAGGGCTAAACTGGTTGCAGTTTTTTTTACACAGGGTCTGAGGATTTTAAGAAAATACCTGGTGGGTCCTTGTGTTACAAAAAAATAGTTAACTTCTCATTTTCTATAAACAATAGGCCAACAGACAGTGCTACACCTTACCTGCCGGCTTTTAAACAATAGGCTGACAGGCAGTCCTACACCATGCCTGTGGCTCTTTATTGATTAATATAATAGTCTCTAAAAAAAATTGCTGCTTGACAAATTTTCTTTTTTTTTCACTCAGTACTATTAATATAAAACACATTGTAAATAGGAAGTTCACTCAGTACTATTAATATAAAACACATTGTGAATAGGAAGTTCACTCAGTACTATTAATATAAAACACATTGTGAATAGGAAGTTCACTCAGTACTATTAATATAAAACACATTGTGAATAGGAAGTTCACTCAGTACTATTAATATAAAACACATTGTGAATAGGAAGTTCACTCAGTACTATTAATATAAAACACATTGTAAATAGGAAGTTCACTCAGTACTATTAATATAAAACACATTGTGAATAGGAAGTTCACTCAGTACTATTAATATAAAACACATTGTGAATAGGAAGTTCACTCAGTACTATTAATATAAAACACATTGTGAATAAGGAGCAGCCATACCAGAAGCAATATACATATATGTATATGATATTGACTGTATTTTTTTTAAACACTGCTATTCAGGAAACTTTTGATGCAATAATAATTGATGAAACGTGCACTATTTGATTGTGCCTGTTATTTAAATTGTTATTTTTTGTTTTTTTTTTAAATTATATCATTTTTTTTAAAGTTTTCATTTTATCTGCTCAACATCTATTGAATAGTAGAATAATACATAACTATATTTTTTAAAGCAAGTTGCTATCATACAACTCAACTTATAGTAACACCTATCCCTACTTTAAGTCATGCTTTTAATTTTATGATGAAATATAATTTGTAAACAGATTGCACATGTTTGATACTTGGCAAGAACTATATTCAAATCAACTACCTTTATATTAATGTAATGTTATCGAAGTCTTTAACTGCAACAACAAAAAATCCAATATGTGCGAATGGCTTATAATCAGGAGCTGTCAATTTTTGGAACATTGCGATATTTATAGTCGAATAGTGTACATGTATTATTACAAGAATAACCATAAATGGTGTTGTTCATCCGTCAAAATCGACAAAGACCATCTGGACCATCTCGTTATTATCCGGTAAGGGGTGGGATGGGTCACGGTATGTCCCGGGTGAGTGCGTAGGTGGATTGCTAGTCCGATCCGCGCTCGGAATAGTCCCTTGCACCGCAGGACACTACTTCCAAGCTAAGGGCTATTTCTTATTTTTACTTTTATACCGTTTTTTCTGTTGTTTCGTTCGCTGAAGAAGGCTTTCTGCCGGCACGTTCGTTGTTTTGTTACGTTTCATTTTTCAGGTTTAACCCACTCTGGCATCGCAGGCAGGGATACTTGCTGTAGTCGGTGGTCTAAGGTTGCTTTTTCAGGCTAGCCTGCGTGTCCCAGCTGTCGCTATCCTACTGGCTTCATGAGATTTAGCCCCCTTCTTGAAAGCTGATCTCCACTTGGCTCTGTCCTGGGCCTGGGCTGTCTGCACCCATTAAATAGGGTTGATGCTGAAGGCCTTTAGTGCTGCTTTCAGTGTGTCTTTGTATCGCTTTCTTGGAGCGCTTGCCTAGCGTGAGTTCACAGGAGAATTGCTGTTTAGGGAGACGGTTGTCTTCCATATGGGCTACGTGTCCCGTCTAACGGATTTGAGACTGTATCAGGGTGGTGAAGATGCTAGGTAGGTTCGCTCTAGCGAGGATCTCCGTGTCAGACAATTTGTCTTGCCACCTGATACCAAGGAGTTTCCTGAGGCAGGTTGTGTGAAAGTGGTTTGTGGTTTAGTTTCCTGGGGTGACGTTGGTAGGCTGGCCACGTTTCACGTCCGTAGAGCAATGTCGAGAGGACTTCAATATATGGATTGTGAAATACATTGAGCGCAACGATAAGCTAATTCATAAGCTCCACGCTACTGGTTATATCCTGTTAAGGGCATCAGTTAGGGTTCTTTTTTTTTTTTTTTTTAAATATTATAAAGATGACATTTTAGTCGGGTTTTTTTTAAAATAAAATATATTTTCGTTTTTTTTTTGTACAAATTTTTTTTCCCGGGGGGGGGGGGGGGGCAGTGCCTACCCAGGAGAGATACCTGAAAGAAACATTGTCCGTTAATAATAACAAAATAAAATATTACGCCCTTGTGGTATTTTTAAGAATCTCATTATACGCAGTTACAGGGAATTTTAGTTTGCAAGGTTATTGATCTCTCCCTTACTCGATACTTTATTTCATGCTTATTTTATTATTATGGAAATATCAGGACAAGGATATTCAAAAGTTAAAAATGTAATTTATAGAGAATATCAGGCTAAATAAGGATAATAATAGTAGTAAGGAGCTTTCTACGAAGTGGCATAGGACGTGGTAGATGGGGCGTTGTTACGTTTTCTTTATATTGATTTGAGTATGTTGAGGAATGGCATTTTCGGCCAACTACAGAAGAGGGTGGAAAGGGCTGCGGCAAGAATCTTGGCCTGCTCCAGGAAGCACTGACTCTTTGCCACCAATGTTCCCTCTAAGGTTTTTTGGTTCATGTGCAAAATCATAAAGTTGTGTGTAAATTTTTACAGCATTAAATTTTTTGTGTGCAAAAGTTTACAGCCCACAAACACACACTTAAGTGGAAATTAGCTGCGCAGTACTCAAAACTGCTGCGCGACCGCGCAGCTTAAAGGGAACATTATTTGCCACTGTTTCTAATTATGCATCTCCCCTTACATGTCATAATGCAAAAAAAAAAATTACAGAAATCGTTGAATTAATTAGTATAGTTTGCCTGGTTAACAAAGATAATTTAAGGGTATGAAAAATCATCAAGAAGTTCTCTCTAGCGATCTTAAAATATCCAATGACACTAATTTACTTTTTGAAATGCGATACCAAAAATATATTACTTTTGTGGGCGTGTTTCTGGGAGGACTGCCATTTCGGTCATTTAATAGATGAGCTTTAAATTTAGTGGGTTCTTTTTTTTTTTACATGTAGCCTAAGCTGGGAATAGTCAAATTATTATTACTACTATTAGGCCAAATTGAAGTCTAGTCAATAGTTTGACTAGCCATATTCTCCAAACGACTGGCATCATGAAATGGCTCATCAAACCACCTGTAACTTGTGATTGTAGTCTGAGTCTGTGTTCTGACTCTACTTTTACTTTTACTTATACTTTCTGGTCTCAAGACAAATTAAAATTTATCTGCACTGTCTGATAGAAATTATTAATATGTAGAAATTATTAATGTTATGCATTTCTATTGTCCATTCATTATGATTATAATTATAATGTAGAGAGTCCAACTAACTCTTGACATATTAAATTATAATCATAATGAAAAAGGCATGGCGCGAATGTCAATTTTATCAATATTGCATTTATTTATCATAATTTATGTTATAGTTATGCCAATACCAGGACTTAAACTTAATTAAATAAATTCATGAAAATGATAGAGTTTGCCAATTAAGTACTGGCTTCTGGGTCCTTGATTTTCTTGAAAGGCTAAAATTGACAAACGGATCCTCTCAGACATCTAGGCAACAATTACACCTACTAATACTACCAAATAGTATCATATTGATTGAATCATGTTACAAATTACTAAACCCAGTGTACTCCAGCATTAATTTATTTAATGATTAATGCCCAGACATGTCAATTTATTAGCTATTGATTTTGACTTTTACCTAATTTTATCTGGCAGTAAATAAATAATTCTCTGAAATCTTAAGTTAATATTTAAGGCTCAGACTCTGACCTTTCACCCATTTCACTTGAACCTGCACAACTCCTTGGCCTTGTTAAATACATAATGACAGTCAGTGATAAGATAAATGGGGTGACTCCATTTGTTTACCTTGTACAAACACCCCTGTCCCTATGCTGATGAATGTTGCCACTAAAATTAATTTATCAACTTTTCGAGGTTCTTTGTTAACAGTAATCAGTGAGAGGATGATGAGCATACAGTTTCAGAAATAATTGAAACTGATTATTCAATTATGAAAATTTAATTGAAAACGTAGTATCATGGGTTACTAATTTAAATTAAGTAAAACTTAAGTTATCAAACACTGTGAAGTACTTTAAATAATACAGTTTTAAAATGTATTAATTTCTAATTATTTTTTATTTCAGTTGCAAGATTGATTTGTTGCTGCAACATTCCACAAGGGAATATAGATTAGAAAGAAGATTATAAACAATTTAATTAAAATTTGAGGAGAATGTCTAAGAAATATCAGTTCTAATATTTTGAATGCTTGAAACTTGTTATTAGTTGTTAGGCATAAAAAAAAAAGAAAAAATCTTTACTCAATTGAATGACAATGGAATATTGTCGAAGAGCAGGACATGTTATCAGCAAGGCAAAGCTATGTATGGTGCATAGTCAGCGAAACAGAAATGTTCTAAACTGTAATTTTAATTTGTCACGGCAATCTTTAACTACAGCCAATTATTTTCAAGTCCTGGAGAAGAATACATTCAAATACTTACCAGGAATTAGTGTCAGATTTTATTCCAATGTAGCCTTAACAACATCAAGGTACCCAAATCTAAGAAGAGGACCATTTGCTGTCTTAACAGACCAAGACATTCATCACTTTGAAAAGATCATACCTGGTCGAGTTATCACAGGTGAAGATGAACTTTTGGGCTACAATACTGATTGGCTGAAAACTGTCAGAGGTAAAATTTTAGAAAAATTTTGGATCCAACAAATAATTTACCTTAGTTTCATTATTATATATTAACTTATAAATTACAGAATAAATAATGCACATTTTATAAATTAAATATTGTAAAAAAAACAACAGATGAAATCATAATTTTTAAATGATCTGGCTTTTATTTTTATTATCTCTAGCATTTTATCAAACAAGTTACATTGTAACCTATCTTCATTACAGGATCAAGCAAAGTGGTTCTTAGACCGAAAACTACCCAAGAAGTCTCAGAGATTTTACAGTATTGCAATAATCATAATTTGGCTGTCAATCCACAAGGTGGCAACACTGGCATGGTAGGTGGAAGTGTGCCAGTGTTTGATGAGGTCATCATCTCCACCCAGCTGATGAACAAGATCATTAGTTTGGATACAATTTCAGGTATTACACATTATTTGTCTCATGTGAAGAAATTCTCACTTCACATGTCCAAGGGCAATTTTAAAATATATTTTAAAATAAATTTAATTTAGACCTCTATTTAAGATATTTATTATTCATGTTTTCTGACAATGAGATGACACAGTTGTTGGTTGCCAACGAAATTCCTCACCCAAGCTTTGTTGGAGACATTTCCATCTTCTCTTGGAGCTGGACATATGCCAATAACACATAATTTCAATTATGAGGTAACATAAATACATGGTCTTTATGAATGAAATGTTCAAATATTTAAAAATGTATTTATGCAACAGGAACATTGGTTTGTCAGGCTGGATGTATCCTGGAAACTCTGGACCAATTCTTACAAGATTATGATCTTACAATGCCCCTGGATCTTGGTGCCAAAGGCAGTTGCCATATTGGCGGAAATGTTGCTACAAACGCCGGAGGAATTCGTTTGTTGAGATATGGCTCTCTACATGGAACTGTCCTCGGCATAGAGGCTGTAAGTTTTTATTATTCTTCATTTTTTTAGATTATGAAAAAAATAGGAGCATACATTTTAATATCTATAAGTATACTTGAAAAAGTATTCATTTTCATATGAAAATACATTTTTGGGGCATATTCTTAGTGGTTCATAAGATTTTTTAAAAGCTTTTCTCTTGAAAATTCCGTTTGTGTTTGGTTTTTTTAGGTTCTACCTAACGGAGAAATAGTAGATTGCCTGACAACTCTTAGAAAAGACAACACAGGATACGATCTGAAACAATTATTTATTGGCTCTGAGGGAACCCTTGGAATTATTACTGGAGTTTCCATTATCTGCCCACAACGTCCCAAATCTATTAGTGTAGCTTTGCTGGGTCAGTGGATTTAAAAACAAATTTATTTCCTAATTAATCTGTAGCAGGTAAAGTTTATTTAAGCTTCAGGGGTTAGGGAGCAAAATTACAAAAGATAAACTGAGTTCATTATCCAAAATTCCAGAAAGATGGCCCCCTACTGAGGTAAGCGAGACAAAACAAAGATTAATGGGTCTTGCTAAAGAAACATGAAACAATGCAAAATGTTACAGTTGTCAGTCAAAAAAGCAACAACATATCCTTGTTTTCTTACTTTTATTATTTGTTTTATTTCATTAAAAGTGCTAATATTTATTCTTCTTGCTGTTTCCACAGGTTGTGAAACATTCCAGTCAGTCCTTGATCTTTTTGTATCCTGCAAATCACATCTGGCTGAAATTTTGTCTGCCTTTGAGTTCATGGACTCCCAATCAATGACTTTAGTGAAAGAAAATTTAAACCTAACAAGTCCCATCAGTGACTACCCCTTCTATGTGTTGGTGGAGTGCAGTGGCTCTAATGGCAAGCATGATGAGGAGAAGTTGACTAACCTGTTGCAGGCTGTTTTGGACAATGGACAAGCTCTGGATGGCTGTGTCGCAACCGATTCTACCAAAATCAAGGTAAAGGAATATGGCTGTGGCATCAATATGTATATTCTTTTTACTCGTTTATATCATTGGCTAAAATTTCAATTTACTAACTTGGATTTAAAATGGAGGCCAAGCACAATAGTCATAACGTTTTTCTGCCATATTAAATGAAAGGGTAAATAAAACCAATGTTCAGATTTAAGTCTATGCCTTATGTGTAGATGTATACATACAAGCAGGAGAAAATATCTTTATAATGATCTGTATCTATGCATTTTCATTAAACTATTTCAATGTAATTAATACATATAACCCTTGCGGCAATGAAGATGTTCCATTTTAGTAGCCAGAAGTAATAGATGTTAGATTATTTAAACTTATCCTTTAAATAGCCCCTCTATAATGTGTATAACTTATGCACAGTGTAATTTGTCCTTTGTGCTGGTTTATAAATACTTTTTGTGGAAGCATTGAACTGAACTAATGGCTTCAGAGTTTAGGATTAGTTAGTTTTTTTAAATTGACAACAAGCATTATTTATGATAGCTAATCAATCATCTAATAATCTTTACTTTCATGAAATACTTAATACTTGATAAATATGGATTCAAAATTTACCATTTGCATTCTGTAATAAGAAGTGTAGAATCTGGACCATCTATTGATAATTTGACACAAGCATTTACAATGTTTGTTTCATCAACAGTCTATCTGGGGCCTAAGAGAACGATGTGCTGAAGCCCTGATGGTAGATGGATACTGCTATAAATATGATATGTCCCTGCCTTTGTCCAAGTTCTACCAACTTGTAGAGGACCTGAGAGTGAGATTAGGGGAGAATGCACTCCGGGTTGTTGCATACGGTCATGTTGGTGATGGTAGGTATCACAAGAGATGTTGAATTGTAAACAAAATGAATTTAAATTTTGCACATAATTGCTAGTTGTAAATTTTAGATTCCATTATTCTTCATTCAAGTTATTTATAATATATTTTACTTAGAACATACCAAAGTTAATAAAATAGCTTAGATATACTCTTTGTTTTAACATACTTGGCCATGCCAACTTCTCTTTGAAACAAATTTTAAAAGTATGTTTGTTTTTTTTTCAATTTAAAAAACCCCCCCAAAAAATCCAGTTTTTTAAAAGTAATTAAATATTTATTTACGGCTCAGGTAACCTTCACTTAAACATCACAAGTAAAGATTACAGCAAAGCAACCATGGAACTGATTGAACCCTATGTCTTTGATTGGGTGGCTGAGCACAGAGGAAGTGTCAGTGCAGAACATGGCCTTGGTTTCAAAAAGAGAAATTACATTTACCACAGCAAAACTCTGCCTGCTGTTGCCCTCATGGCTACTCTAAAGAAGGCCATAGACCCTAAAGGAATTATGAATCCCTACAAAGTTTTACCTGAAATAATTCGGCACTGAGCACTGGTGGGATGAAGAGAAAACCGCATATCAATGGTGTTTATTGTGAATTATTATTTTTATTATCAAGGCAATCACTATGATAAAGCTTTCTTGGCTTTGGTGATATTGTGGAATGAATTTTGATTACTTATTATTATAAGCCAAGGATCGATCCGAATGGAAGAATGTGGTGGAGTAGGCCAGGGCCCTACATGGGCTGCAGCGCCACTGATGATGATGATTGTTTATAAGACTGGTTTATATTTATGCAATTATAATTTTATGATACATTTATAAAATTTAAACTGAGTTTCTTTTACACAAATGAAAAATTATTTCAATATAAAATTGTGAAATGTATAAATTTGTTTTTAAATTGATTGTAGAAGCATGATATAAATATTTAAAAGTATTATTTTCAAAGATTTTTAAGTTTATGGCAATACTTATTAGATATAATTGTACATTTTTAATGACTGTATTCCAGTATTTTTATAAACTGTTTATCATATAAAATAAAATTGTTAAATTTGCTGTTAAGTTTAAATCAGAAATCTCATCTGATTAAATTTCAATTATGAAAATGAACAAAGTAGTTTTTATTTATCCTGCTTGGGAGTCAGTATCCTAAGTTGGTGCAAGAATAAGTAATTAGACCACTAAATAAATATTTATCTATTTTAAATTTAGTCTTTAACATTTTACTTTATGTAATAAGTCACAAAGTTTATCACTCCAACTCAAAGTTTCTTTGTGATTCAATTTTAAAATGCATGATTTTTTTGTTGTAGGGTATCAGAATATATAAAATGGTGGGCAATTACAAGTCATGGCTTTAAATTCAATTAAAAGTCATAGCTCTAAGAGTACTGGACATGATCGTCCCCATTTCATTTACATTCATTCTATTAAATTAATGTTTCCCTCTTTCATTCTGAATCAAAAAGAAAAGTTACAAACATATCAAAATATCTATTTAATCATTTATCAACCATTGGATTATCACAATGAGTTAAACTTGGTATGAACAGAAGAATTGGTAGCTAACACATTTCAGAACTGATCAATGAATGAAAAATATAATTACAAAAGTTTGAACATGAATTCTGAAAGAGAACATTTGCCATTTTGAATTCTTTGTCGGTGGTACATTGTACACCAATAAATGTTTGCAACTTGGATCACAACGACTAAGAAGTTAACGACATGTGTCATTAAGAGACTCAATGGATTTTACGTTACAAGCAAAGGAATTTATCCGCAATCAACTTAGATCATCAGCTTATTGATGCAAGTAATTAATAGAAAAGTATATACAAAATTTGGCAAGTGTGGCTACCTTCAATTTTTTATATTTCATCTGATACAGGTGATTTTCATTTCAATAAATAGGAAATGATTGCATATGACAGATGTCCCATTCTCACTGCTCAGTGAATAACTGATGACCATTTGCAGAAATTGTAGACCAGCATTTCATTTTACTTTGTGACATAGTCTTGTGACATGGAAAAGGGAGTCAGCTGTGGCAGTATTTCTTTAACAGATTTGTTTCAATCACAAAAGAAACATAAAAAGTGTAACATCCCATAAAAATAGAAATAAATGTGAAATACAACGTTAAGTGTACTTTATTCAGCATTTCAAATCTACCAGTGATGCCACGTTTCATCAAGTTCTTTTATATCGCAGTTTGGTCAAACCAGAAGAAGAATCTACCAAATTTTTTTTTAACATGGAATGATCATTTGCTCCATAATAGAGTAAAAAAAATAATCACATAGCTACAAAGCACATATCACTTTTGTATGCCAAGCACAGAAAGACTGGTTGCGGTTATCAGGTGTAGCCTTTGGGAAATGTTCTAGTAATATAAAATATGCAGTGTATACATAAAAAATAATTCACAATCAGATGTTGCTGAACACAACCAGAGTCTAAAAATTAATCGATGTACAAATGTTACGTTATAGTTTATGTCACTATGAGCAAATAGGTATAGAAATTGCTGGGGGTTTGTTTTTTGGACAGAAATATAGAGCAGCAAAACATTACTCTCAAAGGATCTTTCATTGACTAATGAAGACCCAGCACATTTTGTACCATGGCTTGAAGCCCAAGGGCACATGCCCAAATTGCTACCGGATGACAATGATGAAGGATCTATCATTTGGATTACTGTAGCAGAAAAGATTAATAATGTGAGTTGGGTTTGTACTCTGGGCCTATGTAAAGAACCAGAGAGCCATGGTTGCAAGCTTTTCCTGCATTCCTTTTGCACATCAGGCTTATATATGTACTATGTAACTTTAAAACCCCAAAGTTATTAATAAAATTATGGGCTGTGCCGTTTATCATGACCTGAGAAAATGTATTTTATTTTAAATATTAATATACTTGGACTACACAAAAATAATCTCCTTAAATAGGTGAACTGTTATTTACAAAATGTATTATTAATACATAAAACGAATGTATAAACTGCATCTAATAATTTATCTAAAACAAAATTATTTCAAAGTTACAAAATTTCTTTATAAAAAAAAAACATAACTGAGAACACAACCAAAGAAACTCAATTAAAGAATACGTAATAAATCAAATTAGTGTTTAAGTTTAATTAGTTTTTTTTTATATTACTATCAGGTGAATGAGATTGACATAATTAAGTATGACATAGGCAACAAGTTAAGGAAAGTTTTTTAAAATGAAAATTTATGCTCAACTGAGCCTAAAAAATATTTACAAACTAATTAGAAATAATTTTCATTGTGAGGGAAGGAGTGCACAATCTATTTACTAATTAATGGAATGAACTGTTGCTGTCAAAATGAAACAATTGAAATACTGAAGAGTTACTGCTGCATTTATACACACACCAATTACATTTTGTACCAGATTTCTATGAATGTTCATATCAGTGGAACAGACTTTTGACTTTTTAAATGATTACTTTGATCAATTTTTGATGTCACCATGAACTATCAGGTTTGTTGAAAGTGGTTTTGAAAAACCCTTGCAACCAGTGAAGTATCCCATTGAAACCCACGAACAGTAACATCGCAAACCCCTCTGAAACATAGGAGCCAGAATGATCAATTCATTGATTGTGGGCCCTTAAAATAAAGAAGAAGAAGAAGAAAAGGCTGAATTAACCATTTAAAATTGTACACACATGGTCTGTGGCATACTGTGTGATGCTACAAATACACAGCTCTTAAAATGTTACGATGCTTAGTTTAATTAATATGCCCCCCGCCCAAAAAAAAAACACCAATCTTCAAATAAACTGGGGTAAAACATAAGATGTGCAATGACTTAAGTTTGTTTAAGCTCTTCCGTAAACTCAAATTTCAATAAAAAGAAACTTCAATTATTTCAAGACCTAAGTTCCAGAAAAAAAAAATGTATGCTTTCTTGTCATAATTATGACTGGTTTCAAATTTTTCATTTTTAAAGAGAGATTACATGTATAAAAATAATAAATTTCAAAACTGAAGTTTCAGAATATGCTAATGAAAGTCTTATCACATAAATACAATTCTCTATGTATGAAAGAAAATTTGGAGTAATGGCGAGTTCAATAGCGTGCAAAATAAAATTCCAGATAACTGCACAAAATGAGATTCTTAAAAGTACTTTAAGTGGTTAGGTGCGTAATATTTTCTATTGTTTTTTTTACGAAAAAGACTCAATTTAAATATGATGTAATTAATCTGCTTTGTAAAAGGGGGTGGAGCAAAAGATTATTAATAAAGCTCAGGTGCATGTATTAAAGTGTGCAGTTGTATACAGAAAATTTGGGGGAGGGGGGGGGGTGTGGTTGCACTTATTGGGATTCTCCTAAAGTGCATTACTTGAATTTTAATGCATGGAAAGTTCATGCATTGCCTCCTCTATTGTTGGCCGGCAATAACTAGTGAGTAGTATCTATATATGTACTGAAAGGGTTAGTAAAAAGCCTAGATTCACTACAGACTTCACGAAACAATAGGATAGTTCCTATTTGCAAACACATTTTCTTACTTGTATTTCACTTACATATTTTATTAGTGTTGATCAGATTATAAATACAGTGCTTTTATTTTTATTTAAACTTGCTTGATATGAAGTATAAAATTAGAAAATTTTTCATGAATGATTTAAATAATTATGATATCACTTTATGTGGTTGCAAACAGTTCTTACAACTGGAGCAAGAAGATTCTAAGACTCTGAATAACTGGAAGTAGGGCAATTATAGATTTGTTAACCAGTTCAATATAAAAAAAATATAGTTTTGTCAGTAAGCTTGCAAAGCTTTGGGAACATAGTGAATTATATATTTTAAGAAAACATGAGCTAGATTCACAATTTTATTCCCAATAGTTCCAATAATTGTTAATGTTTTCACATTTTCAAAGTTTACTTCATATTGCTACATTTTTTAATGAGCCTGCACAAAGAACTTTATAAAAAAAAATATAATGTATGTAAAATTAATAACTAGCTTATGTCGTCACAATATATTGTGTATTTCTCATGCTAGCAGAGCACAAAAATTAGAAAAGGGGGGGTGGGGGGGGGGGTGAATGACATTTTCAGGGGCATGGGTTGGGGGAAAAATTCTTTAGAAAAATTAGAAAATACCAAAAAATCTAGCAGAGCACAAAAATTAGAAAAGGGGGGGTGGGGGGGGGGGGGAATGACATTTTCAGGGGCATGGGTTGGGGTAAAAATTCTTTAGAAAAATTAGGAGATACCAAAAAAATAGTATGTCACAAAACAGGCCAATAATTAAACATGAATTTGATTACACAATTTTATGTTCAGAGCGAGGATGATGGGTGTACTCGTAATCTAAATGGACAAACGCACGTTCAACTTCAGGTATACTCTCCAGCCGATGCTGCAGGCTCTCACCAATGTCGTGGGCTTCCTTGAGGGCCATTTCACTTGGCAGGATGATGTCCACCTCCACAAGGAAGTTGCTCCCAAAGTGAAAGGCCCTGACAGTGTCTATCTGCTGGATCAGCGGGTGATGATTGAAACACACCCAGGTCAGCTTGCTCAAGAAGTCTGGCCGAGCAGTGTGACCCGTGAGTAGTTTGATTTGCTCTGAGCCAGTCTGCCACCAGTTAAATATTATGTACATACAGATGATCACGGCACCTGCTGGGTCTAGATATGCAAAGCCATACATCTCAGAGATCTCAAAAAAGTTTATGGATCCAAGGTAGCCACACACGATGGCTACTAAATTGGACATGACATCGTTTCTGTGATCCTGGGCCAGGGCCTGAACTATCGGGGAGTTGACCCTTCGGCAGACCAACCAGAGAACAAATTTAATAACAACTGTGCTACCAGCAATGGCAAAAGTCACAGCGTCCACTGTGGGCAGGGTAGACGACATGCCGCTGATGTCAACAATTTTCTCGATGGCCTCACGGATGAGCTGCACAGAACACAATGCCATGACGACAGCCAGGATGATGATGGCCACCGGCTCCAGCTTTGTGCGGCCCTGCGGGTATGTGTACGGATCACGGTGCTTGACGGCACGCGTGGCCCACCACATGATGATGCCACTGAAGAGGTCGAGGCAGGAGTC